CATTTGCGAAACTTCTTTTCTTTATAACTTTTTAATAAACAACGAGCGCCGGCTAAATCCTTCTGAGCGTTACTCAGGAGGGTAACCTTGACAACATATGTCAAGCCCAAGGTTATTGGAGGTGGGTGTGTTAATCTAAATAATTACCATATTTCCTGTCGTTCTTATTTCGAAAAGAAAAATTTTTAATTTTAGTTTGGTACGCATTTTAAATTTGTATTTGATGCGCCGACCCGACGAACCCTCCGTTCATTAAAGCGGTCAAGCTATTTTTAGAGGATTGATACTTTCAGTTGCTTCTAAGTTTCATGTTTTTTTAATATTTAAGGCCATTACTGCTATTTCGCGTTGTCGTCTGCTTCTTGCGTATTCGATCCTTCAAACGAAGGATCCAAGTTTGTGGATTACTCGGTCTTTTTCTCATGGAAACTTTGTGAAGCATCGCTAATAATTCGTCACATTTTCGAGACCGCCGTATTACGTTTCCTTACTCCGCGCCAAGCGTCGACTTATCGAGATATGTAATAAAAAGTAAGTCACGCCGCCAGCCAATCAACACGTTCTCCAATCTGTTTGAATTGACCTTAACCGACTTGAAGCATTTGTATGGCCGAAACGCAGTTATCAATTACGCGACAATGAATCTGTGAACTTTCTCGCGCATAATTTTGCGATCGAAAATTGTGGAATTCCATAAAAACCCGCCAGCTTCGTAAAAAACGGGTCGTCGATTTACGAGCGGTTTTACCTGCATAATGCAACACGCCGCTCGAAAAAGGCGAACGAGATACGCCAAGGCTCTAGCTGTTGCACGATCTTCGAAGAACTTGACCCTGGTTGCGAGATGTCGCCGATCATTAAGTAAATTCAATCGTATAGTGTGCGATTTGATTACGAAATCATTGGTCGTTCACCTGCCCATTTCAGTCAGGTGTTCCATTGCTTGGTACAATTTCCTTCCCACCTTTCTCGATTTGATTAATTTACTAATATCGTTTGAACGCATAGATAGCATAAGGAACGTGTTTTCCAGCGCACATTTTCTTATTACGCAATAATTCGTATCCTTAGTTTTGCTACGAATCTAGCCGATAATTTATTATCTCATAGACTAAATACACGCTCGCGTGAGAATGTGAGTAGCTTTCTTACGGAGTGGAAGTGAAGATAACGATAAGCCGTAAACAAGAGCATGTAAAATGATAGCGCGTAGAAAGAACAGGACTTGCTGCGTTACGTTACATAAGCATTTGAGAGTTCTTACGATTCACTGAATTATCGTTGCTACGCATAAAAGGAAATGGGGAATAATTATTATTTCTATTCTAACTTACTGCAGCGAGTCGTCGACATTCAAGTTATTACCCAATTTCTTCGTATATCAGGCAATTCTAAGAAATCATTCTGAGACGCGATTACTTTGCGTATCGTGTAATATTTTCGTAGATATTTGAAAGTCACAGATAAATTTAATATCGCCAGTAGTTAAAAACCAATGGTATCTCATTTTAACGACCTACACTGGCCAGTGTTTTTATTTAAAAAAAAAACAAAACACGTTACAACGTTTCGGTCCCGGGCCCTTGTCAAGTAATCTGTTACAAAATTATAAAAGATCACATATTAATTGTTTGGCCAATACCATTAGGCAGTAAGATATTATAATAGTAAAAAATAATAATTGCAGTCACTGGTAGAAGAGTGCAAAGTCCATTAAAATTGCATCATCGATTATTAAATATGAATAAAAGTGACAAAAGAACTATATTAGACGAGAGATCAAGTTAAACACCTTGTTAAAATTAAATACCATTGATATTTGAAAGTTTCTAGTCACTGCTAATTTAAAAGTAAAAGGCTTTGGAAAGTGAATTTGCATTGAAAGAAATCAGTTCGAATTAGGTCGAGGAATAAAATTCACGACCTATTTTTCCTCGGAGTGTAATTACACTTTTTTTACTTCTGCCAAAACATTTCTATATTTGAAGAAGTAGATGTGAATTTCTCTTAGAAATTCCAGTCTTAATAAAAAAATTTTGGTTAAAGTAAAGAAATCATTCCTTTGAAATTAAGTGAAAGTCTAGTAAGGTCAAAATTCAGAGATTTGTTTGATTCAAAAAAATTTTTTCTGGGTGTACGTTTTGAATTTTCACGTAAGGGCCACGTCGCCTGTTAAGGGAATTATTGCACCGGCGAAAAACTATACGTGAACGTGTTTGTGTCGGAATGCACTATAAGTGGCGTGCATTGCGGCAAGGCGTTAATATAAGTGGACGTAATCTCGGCCCCATTTTCGTGATCGTCCGGAAGAATTGCTCCTGCGGCGATCAGTGGGTGAAATCTCGCGCGCGCAAGAGGAATAGGAGAAACGGATTGACACGACGAATGGCAAGAGAGTCCTTTTCCCCTTCTCTGCTCGCATTTGCAAACGTCATGAATCTCATCTCTCACTTTACAAATACGCGCGTGACCGCGAGAGAAATCTGCTGTTGTTTCATTATATGTACCATATGTATATTTGTAATAAGTGTCTCTTCGTTAAAACGATTGATAACTTATAGTTTTAGCCGAATTTAATAGGTCAATTGTCTAAAGCTTCCGATATCTCGGATGCTAAAGTGTTGAAAATTTACAGAATTCACTCTTGACATTGCGTGAAACACTGCTTGCGGGCAAAAACGATATAATCGCGTGCTCCTTAATGTATGCCAAGCTAAACACGGTAAAAATCAAACAGAAGTACTGCTAAGCCAAGGTTACGCTTATTTCATCCTTTGGGATGAGATATCCTTATCTCATCCTTTGGGAATGATCAAAGACAACGGAATAAAATGGATGCAAAGAGGATCTTACGTTGCATTTAAACGCGCGCGCTCAGAGACAAACGTAATACGTAGTATTAAAAATAAAAAAAATATTTATACAGCCTGATTTTTGCACTCTAAATTCGTGCACAAAGTCAGTTATAGAAATTCCCTCTAAAACATAACATCTTCCACAGACACCGTATGCGTAGCTTGCATAAATGGAAATATAAATTTCCCTGCGAATGAGAAGAACTTTGAAAGAAATATCGTCATATTATATTCTGTAGAATATGATCGTATAACGCGGAGCTTCCTGCTATTGACTTGGAATTATTACGTTTCATTAAATGCAAACTCGGCGATATTACATCACTAACAATAAGAGAAATCCTTAGAATTATAATTTCGATCGCGCAAAACTATCGAAGATTCTCGATATTATTCCTTGGAAATTTTCCAAAACAATCAATCATGGTTTTTTACTATTTGCCTGACTGTCTCCGAGTTTCTCTTTGATACTCATAAATTTAAATGACAAAATTACTTTAAATGCAGTGAAGAATATTTAGTACATATATTTTTTACCTT